AAAGTGGGAGCTTTCGATGAACTTATCTCGCGCTGCGATCGGGTCAAACAATTCGGAACGGCACGCAAAAGAAGAGGCAACCGACGTGTCAAGAGCGAACCAAAACCAACAGGGATTGACCAACAGAATGAGGCATGAATCATCCTGCCGCGCGATTAAGAATTGATTGTACATAATTGAACGCATACACCGGTTGTTTTTGAATTGAATTAATAAACATTGTGCCAGCCAACTCGCCTCGTTACAATATGTCCAATCCCCAGATGTGACGACCACCCATACACAAATAACTGCAGCTCCATCTCTCTCACATCAGTCATTTCGAACGTTATGCAATCAGTTATTACCGAGCAGCTCCGCCGCCACCTGGAGCAGAAGAAGATGATCGCGGTCGTCCGATCCCGTCGATCTGTAAGTGATCTTCCCAGTGCTCATTTCGTAAACATAGTCAGCAGCATCGGCAAATCACGGAGAAACGCGAACACGGATCGACTCTTTTACGAATATGCATGCTCCCAAATGGGGGAGCTGATAGAGCAAACCCTATTATTGTACTCAGAATTCACTATTTTCCTCACTTTTCCATTTGCTTTTGTAAAATTCAAATTTTTCATTTTTTCTCAAAAAAGATCTCATCTCACACTACCAGCCACGCCGTCTCTGGATTATCCAGTTTTCCCATAAATTCACGCTTTAGAAAGTTTCTACGAGCTCACCGATGACCGACTGTGCACCTGTAAATAAGCAGATGAGCTGTCGACACAAATCCCTTTTAGGTTGAGCCAAATACAAAGACTAGTCTGAAATTCTGTCTTCCCTATCCTCTTTCGTTGGGCCACGGAATAATAGCTTCCCAGAGGGTTCCATTGTCTTGGGTATCCGGACTAGCCTAGGAAGTGGGTCGGGCTATTTATTGGTTTATAGTACGCTCGTTCGATCCGTAATAGGTCGATTGATTTCCGATTACAACAAAGGAGGGACAAAGTTTCCTAACGATTTATCCGGCTCTTTGCGCTTTCTGAATCCTGATTTAAGCTTTTGAATCTGTCCTATTTTGCAATGCCTTAGTGCTTTATATGCTCATTTGAAGAAGACGAATAAATTTCGAATAGTCTTCCCCAACAGAACAGGACTACTACGAGCTGCATCACTTTGATAGTCTCATACTTCCGTTATGAATTGGTATGTCTTTATTAAATGAAGTCGACCATCCGAATTTCATTTACCGATAAGCTCGGGGAAATAGATGCTCCAATTCAGAGAAAAACTATGAAAATGTTTCTGCATTGAAAACGACCATCAGCCCTAGAAGAGACTCATTAGCCTTCCGACCATTTACATAACTCCCTAATCACTATTTTTCATGAATTTTCCTGCATTGATGTAATTTGTATGCACTCCAGCCTTGGTTTCTAACGGTTAAATAGCATTTGAACAACTGGGACGAACGTGGTTTAATCCCCATATACACACACAAACAAGTAAAGTATAACGGTCATTTGGATCACTTACGAATTTGTGCGTTTTTTCTGTTGGCAAAGTTACTAATCGAAACCAATCGATAAATCTCATTTGGCTTATCTTGGTAGACACTAATGCTTGTATTGAGTCATGATCTCAAGGGTTGATTGGGCTCACCTCACAATTTAACGTGTTTCACGATTTAGAAGTACAACGCTTGAATGATACACAGAAAAAAGTTAACTTGTCCTTGGTTTTCGTTGCTGTGATGACCTTTGGCGATCGAGGTATCCAGGTTCATCATTGCCCTAGCAACAATCAATATCAGTTTAGCTCGTTCTAGCAACAACCGTTACTCCTAGGGTTCAATGATTTAGGATTTCGGAGTCCCCTCCACATTTGTGTTAATCCCCTTGTCTACCTGGGTCGGACACGTGCATGAAACCGTCTCACATGACATGACGGTCGAGAGAAGTCATGACCAGAGTGACACTGTTGACCGTTTGACTCTACTCTCCAACACAGCCCATTGTAGGAACAACAAAACAAAATCAAACTTCCTCCGATCTCCTGTCCCACTTTTGGATTGTGTTCAGTGAGCGAAAAAATCAAACTGTTCCTTTGAATAAGCTAACAATGCGCTAAGAAAACTTCATTCTCGTGTAACTTATAAAAAACAAAAGTTTCGAGGTATGCGACAAAAGGTAACAAAGTAAAAATAAGGTTGGAATTATTATTGGTCATTGTATTTTTTTTTACATTCCAAACATTAACCATCGGATGGTTGAGTAGTTTGCTGAAATGGTCAAGGACAATGTTATAATTTAGGCTCGGACTAGTAGTTAGTGTAAGTATCGAAATCTGCGCAGTATTAGTTTACCCCAAAACTAGGATTTGGAATGAAATCAGAACACAGCACTCGACAACAGAATCGAACTGTAATAAGCGGAAAGCGGGAATGTGCAAGGATATCGTGTTCAACAAAACAAAAGAGTTCATAGTTTATGAGCAATCACGACAGACAATCACACTAAACGTCTGCGGCGTTCAATTACAGGCAAAACAAATTACTGCCTGATACATAACACTGATAGTCACCACAAAGACCCTAAACAAAACATCTAAGAGAACCCATACATAATTTCTCTGAAAGCATCGGGTTGTGGTTGGTCATCCTTCCCTTGCACCTTGAGAAATGCTCCTGTAGCACCAAGGGTCCCTAATAGCTTCTACTGAGGACGCTTTACACCGGTCTTTGACAGGCAAAAGTAGTTTTGCACCAAAGTGAGGACGAAAATACATCCGGGTTGGTGAAACACGAGTTCACCTAAAAGGGTTTGCCCAGCAAATCAAAACCAACTAAGAAGTGCACGAACCACACAGACAATTCCAGTTGTGCCAGTGATCACGAGCTCGATTGGTTAGCAAGATGTATTGAGCGCTTAGGACGTTTGACCACGTCCAAATCGTGTATGATCTGATGAACTGGACACCGACTCTCAATGGATTGTGGTATTCACATACCATCCGGTCTTGTCGGTCAGGTTTTGGCTAGACAAACAGTATCGCACCCAGCAGCAAACCTTCGGAATTAGTTTCGGAAAGATTATATAGCGCGATTTTTCGACACAAATTGTACAATAACCATGATTCTTCACGTCAAATGACTGTGATTCCAATCCCCAAATCTTTATCCTCAACTGTTTGGGCCAAACGGTTTCGTCGTATGACGCGGACTTCAGCGGCTCTAAAGTTCACTGAGGTGGCGGTCTTGAATCGGTTGCAGTCAGTTACCACAATTCCTTACGACCCTCTTCAGTGTAAGCCAAACAGATCTAAACTGGATGCCTTATCCACTCTAGTGCATTTTATCAGCAAGTCATCGAACAATCCAGCCAAGTTCGTCCGTTGTTTTATTTTGACTATTCACCTGCATTTGATTGTTTCCCGATCATCCCTTCTTTTCAAACTTGAATCTCTTGGCACTCCAAGACAGCTGCTCTCATGGCTTGCTGACTATCTCACACAGAGGGTCCACTGAACCAAACTAGGTAGCAGAACATCAAAACCTGCTGTTAATAATTTTGGTGTTCTTCAAGGTTCTGTTCTATCTCCATATCTTTTTTTGCCTTTATTAGTGATCTTTCAGTCCCACCCCCTGCGCACATCCAAAAATATGCTGAAGACGTCGTTTTATGCCAGTAAGTTTCATCTCCTTTGGAATTTTATTCTTTTACTAAACTCTATCCCACATCCAATAGTTTTCTGATGAATCTGGTCTCAGTGTTAACATACTCAAGTGCGTAGAGTGCACTTTCAGTCTTTCCCGTTCCTCATTTCCAACGGACTCTGCTACCCTTAACGGTAAACGGTATCCAGAGTGACCTCAGCCAAGTAACTGGGTGTCACCATCGACACATTGGTCTACACACATTTACAACTGTACGAGAAAAATGGGACGCCTATCTTTTTTTTCAGTTACGCAAACTCGGGCAATTCCGAAATCCACAGTCAATCTTATCGTCTTTTGTTCATCAATGAGTCTTAACCAAACTACTGTATTGATTCCCTGTTGTGCCTCCCGGTCCTTCAAAACAACTCGTGGTTTGATGATCAATAGTGCATCATTAATCCCAATCGATTAATTAATCACAGAACTCATTGAGTGTCACATCAACTCTAGTGTTAAATTTGCTCATAATATTGTACATGACCCTCTTCGTCCACTGCATCCCGATCTATCATCTGGCCATTCCCATCCGTCCACACGCTCCTCATTTCGGCAACTTCTCTCTCGCATCACCAGTTTTAAAGTTTCCCCTGTACCCTACCTGGCTCGACTTTTAACGAAAAAGGAACAGGTCACGAGTGAACTAAGTCAAGTTTTATACATGAAACAAATCTCAGCGACATTCTTTACCCTTCGTGTTATATTTCATTAGTATAATTATTATTATTACATTCTGCGTGACGAATAGTGTACATTTTTAACTGAAATGTAGGTATACATGCTTACACAAATACAACACTGTTTAAACCCGATATGAAGTGGTTGGTGCAATGCTAACACACCCTTCGTAAATTGTGTTCAGAGTTCCAAGTCCGGACGGGACAGTGGATATGCACTACTGCCATGTTCAGCGTTTCCGGCTAACTGGGTGAACTGAGTACTATGCGTGAAGATGGAGTACAAAGGATGATCTGCTCCAATGAGAAAGTTACGACCAGTTAGTTCATTTTCAATTAGACAAAACTCCGGTGTGGTAGACGGCTCTGCTGTGGCCTAGTTCACTACTACACCAGATCCATTGAGGTCTACTATGTGATCCGTCACACAGAATCATGATTACCGGTTCCCAGCCCACGTTGATTTGCTGTTTTTGGAAGAAGAATTCCAGCGAATAATTCCTCACCTTACCAAATGACGTATTCATTGATTTTAGAACACATACATGATTTTAATTCATAAATAGTATTCATTCACGTAGAACTTTGTACAATGCTTGGGTAGATGGGTTTCGAGGCAGAATCTCGGATGTTTATGTATTGTTTAGAGATGCCAGCAACGCGTTGGCACGAGAGCAGGCGACTGAATTGGGTTCTAGAATGAACAAATAATGAGGATTAAATGAACCAGTGAATCAAAATAGGAACATAATACGTGAGGCATTGTAACATACTTTATATGATACAACCTAATAGCAACAGGCCATTTGATTACACTATCGACAAATTTAAACGATCGAAACTTAGCAAATGCTTACAAACGGGAATCAAGCGTTGTATAAATTATTTCTGAGCATGACTATCTTACTTAAAATGCGCCAAATGGTTCTGCTCCTCTAGTAACTCATCAGCTCTTCGATCCGTGGTGACCTACATGGTTAGGACTGTGTTTATCATTTCAACGCATATCGTCACCGAGCTATCAAGGCAACACACCGTGATGTGCACCTAAATGAGCAACCCATTAACCGCTATGCATCAAACAAGGAACAATATGGTACAGAAAAGGTAAAAATAAAAACAGACAGCCTACAACAATACTGCAAAAAAGTAAAAATCTGTTTGGTATAAAATTATGCTAAGATCACATGACAGGAGTTCGGAGTTTTTAAGAAATTCAACTCAATAAAGAACAGAACGATCGAAGGCCTCACTGGGTGTATGTGCGCTTACTAGTCTCAACATTCGGGAGGTGATGACAATGTGTTTGGTAAAATTTTATAAGTTTTATGGTGTTGAGCTGCAATACATTGCGCAAGGAGCTCAGAAGGGATACGGTTAGGAGATCTGCCGATGAGTTTATCAAAATGTGCCAAGGAAGATAACAAGGCCTCATAAATCCAGTGAAGTGAAATGTAGTCCAAAAGTCTTTCCAAAGCTGAAGGGGGAAAGAGTGGATTAAAGCTCAAAGGATAAAACGCAGGCCTTCTGGGATACGTTTGTAACACAATCACGATTCTGACATGACGTCAAACCACTTATTAGGTTCATTTTTAAACTTCGGATTATAGATCTGTCTACAATTTCTGTTATGCTTCGTGGCACAGCAGGGTGAGATGATGGTCTGGGGTAGGCGCAGTTAAATATTACATTACTCGCGTATTTAATAAAAACCGAACAAGTAAACGCAAGTATGTAGGTGTACAACGGAAATGGCGTCGAAATACAGCCTAGGCAACATGACAGTATTCAGCCCACAAGCCGATCATGGGATATTTCTCTTTTTATAAAGACCATTGTACCATGATTTGTTCGCCACATTCTGGCCTCAGACAAGTATGAAATACAATAATCTATAATCGTAGTACGTTTTGTGTGGAGGAAGGTAGAGATGATGTATGGTCCCGGTAAAGTTTGGACTGCTGTTAGTTGATGAGGTAACTGGACAGTACGTAGTTCAATCGTGGAAGGCTGGACACCGTGAAAGGAAAGGATACTGGACAGGCTACCAATGTTAAATACAGGAATGGAGTATCCAAAGNCGCTGTGACCAGCCTTGTCTTGTTTATCACGGAAGTAAAACGAGAGCTGTAGGATAGGCGGAGTCAATTTTTTTCTGTGTTCTTATCGTATATAATTTTTAGCTTTTTCTTATGAGGATGTAGGATAACTTTGTCCCTGAGCCCAGTAACGAGCTGTTTCGTGAGGCGGTTCCTGCTAACTAGGTGATATTTAGAAGTCTTAACAACCCAATTTGGAAGTCGCTATGTCGATCTTTCCATGTTCCGTTGGCACACTGAATATCCTGAGTGGCTAATAAAACTAAAGGGTGTATGAATAAGAGACGATGTTCCCAGCGTTATTCGGCTTTTGTTTCGGGATGCATCTAAACCCTAGAGCTTTCAAGTGCAGGCTCCTGGCTAGTAGGATTGCATGGTTATTACCGGCCGGTGACATCTGTGCTTCATACACTTTTCTGATCGGATAGACCCAGGAAATTTAACCTGTTCACGAGAACTGTAACGACCGAGGCCGTTGTTTTGTTCACACGCTCCTCCCCGTCACTTGCCTAGCTGCCAATGGCGGAGCCAGCATTTGAGTCTCAGTTTGACTACGATAACACACATCGACAGGATTCTTTCGATAAGTTAAGAAAGATCGTTGTAGAATTAATCCCTCATTTAAGGTGTGCTGCAATCGGTTGGTGTATAAACAGGCAAGACTAATGAGCACCGGTGCTTCGTTTTGTAGCTGTTGACCCGTACTGAACCGGTGAGACGCACAGCACACAGTTACTGACTGCAATCCTGTCACGAAGCGAGCGCTTAGCTTTGGCACTTAGCGAAACCCCCAACACCATCAACACTGCGAGCGTCAGATGCCGAAACACCTGACACGCGATGGTTGAAGCGTGAGGATGAATGAACGTGTATCGCGCACGGGAAACTGTGTTTTACTCAACCAAGTATAAAACTGAATGCATCAAACGACAAACACAGACCGTTTTCTGCCCTGAACTATCACGCTAGTAACACATCGCTGTGACCGTGCACAATAAGCAGCTTCTACGGAGGTAAGTGAAATTCATAATCATTTGGCAGATTGATGTATACATATACGGAAAAGGACGAATATCAAATAGAAAGGAACTGGACAAAAAGGTAGGCAGACTGAGCTGTTCGCACCTGGGTTGGAGGTATCCTGTTCCGCCACTGTATCATTAGCTTGTCCCTCAGACACTATCCGCTCACAAGTGGCAACCAGTCGTTCACGCGCAGATCCACTAAGCTTTTGTACATAAAGCACAAGACGAGCAAACGATTTTCCAGGTACCTGCCACGGCAACAAAAAATGCATCAATTGAATTTCACGTTTAGTTACTACTTCTTGGCCCTACTAAATATTTGTAGACTACCATATCGATAGATACTAGGCTCTCTTGTACCATGAAATATTCGTGAAAACATGAATCATAAGGGTTTCTTTTATTTCTTCAATAGGACAATAGTGTTTTCGGAAGACCTGGAGGCCCAACTATGCCTCAGAACAAGCAGAAAATCAAGCATGAATAATGGAATGATTGTCAGACTATAACATTACACAAAAGTTACTTGATTTTAATCAGATGGAAATTTCCAAGAACTCAACGATAATTGAATGACAGTTTTGAGTAAGTCATTCACATGAACGAATGCGCTAATGGAGGGGTTGAGGTTTTCTGCGATGTGAGCACCTCGGGTTCCGGAAACTGTTTTGTTCCCATGGAACAATCCCTTTACTTTGATCTTCACAAGCGACCCAACTGTCACTTTTGACTCAATGACGTTGTTTGGTTGAGTTAAAGGTTACATCCCGATAACCGCTAGGTAGGTGGGTTACACTAAGCATGGTCAGTTGAGTTTCTCAGAGTACGATGAGTCGCAGTGTCACTCGTACATGTGAAAATTCTGGCAGACTGGTAGGATGAGATTGTATTCGATTGAACTGAAATACTACAAAGAGGCTTTAGCAGCAATCAAACTGCACTACCTGAAAGTTATTGGACGTTTCACTTCACGTCAATTCAAGTCAAGGAATCGCTTTATACACCTCGAAAAGCGGATGATATTCGGCAACCACATAACCATAGTGTATCAACAAAAAGTGAAAAAAACATCATAGGGCAACAATTAAAAGATGCGTAAACGGACAGCAACATCAGAGACGAATGGCATACCGGGTGTTTACGATTGATTTAGCTTAGCATTTTGCGCAGATTTCCAGCAACGAGTTCATGGTTTGTTAGAAATCTGGCTAGATAAGGGACAATAGACCGCCTGTAAGCGTGTCTTTATAAGTTTGGGAGTGGAACGGGTGGATGAGTGAGAAAGGCAATGACTAAGGGCGGAATAAAGAGGATGGGAAATATCGGATAAAATCTTGTTGGAGAATGTTTTACAGGACTTGAGGTGATGTGTCCTCACATACTGTGCCAGATGTTCCCGTGGTATGAGACTACAAACTGAAAGAAATTTGAGGGATCGGGAAATGAGTTTGAGGTCCTTGCTAAAAATACCGGGGAAGATAACCGGGGACCCATAAAGCCACTAAGGCAAAACGCACGCAAATCAAAACGCCTTATGAGATGGTTTAGAATGTAAAGTGATTTAAGACGTAAAACATAAAACGTGAGCCTCCTGACCTTCAGAAAAACGTCATTAACGTGGTCATACCAGGTGAGGTTACGGTTGAAAATAACGCCAAGGTATTTGACAGACGGTTGTCGTTTCATTTGGTCACTGAGGATAGATAAAGGCGGGCTGTCATTTGATAATTCTTCATACTTTTGCTCTCTCAAAAAGGAACAAAATATGTCACTACATTCTTGGGGGTTCGCGCAGAGGTTTCTTCATTGAGACCACTCAACTATTTCAGACACGTCTTCTTGTAGAGTGGTTAGGAATGATGAGTTGGGGAAGGGCAGTCCGAATATTATATCGTCTGCCTAATTCACAAGAAGAGAAGAATTGCTCACAGGCATAAAGGAAATGTAAGCAGAAAATAGAAAAGGGGATAAAATAGTGCCTTGTGAGGAGGGTAGTAGTGAAGAGACACGACCTTTGTAACTTGTGAACTGCTGACGGTTGGAGAAATAGTTGGCCAAGAGCTCAATCGCAGAAGGTTGAACTCCGCCTGAAGAGAGGGTATTTAGCAAAATTTTTCGATCAAATGAGTTATGAGCATCACTGTAGTCAAGAAAACATGCGTACACCCTTGCTTTTCTTATCCAGGTTGGATAAAGCAAAGTGGGACAGATAAGCAAGGGCATCAAGGGTACCGCAGGGATGTGTGTATGCAAACTGGTTCGGGTCACCAACATTGAACTGTGTGGACAGGTTTTTAATGAGGAGCCTCTCAAAGACCTTCAAAACAACTGAGGAGCAGACAATGGGACCGAATTTTGAGGATCCTTTCTTCGGAACAGGGGTGATAGAGACTATTCTCTAGCAGTCGGGTATACGCTGTTGCGAAATACGATTATTGAAAAGTTCACTCAGTACAGGGGAAAGGAAGACAGTACATTTTTTCACGACATCGGGTGAGACTCCGTCGGGATTTGTAATGATTTATATGATTTAAACACCCGAATATATGAAGGGAGGAAAACAAATGACTGAGTGAACCAACGAGTATTTCAAAGATAATTTCGCTAACATCTTGAATTCATCTGAAGTGAATGAACTGACTCTAGTAGTGTTCAAAGTGATAAAATGGCACAAGACTTTGTTCTTTACTTACCATGTTCTCATCGAAAGCGTGCTTCAGTAGCCACTTTTGCAGGTTTTTGTTATATTTCCAATTATCTCTAGCACGCTTCCATTGACGTAAGTACGCCAGTGCTTTTGCTCTTGTCTCGTTTAGGCTCTGTTTAACATTGTCATCGTCGTCAGCAGTTTCCTTGACCAGTGTGGACTGCAGCTTTTTGGCTTTTCTTTGGTTGCGACTGTATAACTTTTTTGCGCGGCGTTTTTTCCATTTCAGTCGTTTAAGTTTGTTCTTGTTTTTCTGTGAAGTCGGCTCCGCATCCGGCTGGCACTTCAATTCCGCAGCAGTGCCTGGAATATCGGGCAAAAGCTGAGGGGGTTTTGATTTTTGCTTCGAAGAACCCTGGAAGAATGAATCGGAGAATGGACTGATGAAAAAGCTGGAAAACAAGATTGTTTCATTAATTGACGGACAAATTCATTCTCAACGTCAAGGCGCATTTCTAGAGGATCAACGAAGCTCCGAAGAGTAGCTTCTGTGAATTGAGCTATAAAACTGGCCCGGTGGAACAGACAGACCGAAATCAGTGATCGACGCCGCCAAAAGCGTTTTAGAACACTGGATTTTCCGACTCCTCATCATAAATACGGATCTTTAGGACATATGATGGTTACGGATCGGCCTACTCACTACTTTCTTATAGCCGGAATGTTGAAATAAGAGAAATAAAACCCGGATTGTTGAACCATCGCAGTTAGTGTATCTAAGAAAGCTAGGAAAAAACGGATTACAAACCTTGAAAGAGGTTAATGAAATGGATCTAGTACATTCTAATTATGGCGGATACCAGATCAATTGTGTAACAGATTGTGTTGAGCACCAAGGACATAGCAACAAAGTCTTAAGATCGTATGCTCCGAATGAAAAAATATCGACTTCCCCTCAAATGCGGTCTCTCACGCTCTACCTCTATGCCTTGCAGGACAGGCTTTGAGTAACCGGAAGCTCCGGGATGGCATCTTTAAGCAAATCACTTGTTTTGGTTTGGGTGACCTGGCAAAATTGTGCCCAAACAAATCACGGTGCCTCTCAGCTGTCTTCTGTAACGAACTCACGCGGTACCTTATCGCGTATTTATCTTGACCTTCTCACATACGACGTGTCTAATCGATTTTGTTTATTCCGTCTTCGACACCGGAACGGGTTGTTGTGCCAAACGATAAACAGACAGATCTGATAGTACGAATACTGGAAAATATCGATGTAGATATTTGTATTCAAGGGATATGCAGACAAGACGCCAGCTACTTGACACGACATACTTTCCGTTCGGACAGAAGATACACGTTCTAGGTCCAGTTATCCGAGGACGAACAGGTGACTACTTTAGTCATGCTGGACAGAGAATCGGGATTGGTGATAAGAATGAGAGCAAAGTCTAGGACTGATTTTTAGTGAACACCTAACTCTGCTAAAACTAGCACATAGTCTCCCAAAACAGAGATGAAAGATTAACTGTTTCCATAATATCGAAATATGTCCGTGACTGCCGTCCGGAAACAGCTGAACATCGAGGTTTGCATGATTTCTTACGAAACGGATAATTTGGTACTAGTTAGGTAGAACATCCTCCTTCCCGACGCCATTCTTCTTCATGGCCTCCGAAAGCCTCAGTATGGTCGGGGGTGGGTGTCTTGGGTAGTGGCCAGTTACCCTTCTCTTGCAACTCATGGAATGCTCCTATAATACCAAGTGTCTCGAAAAGCTTCTGCTAAGCAAGCCCTACTCGCTACCTTCCCGCCAAAGTGAGAGGACGAAAAGCCAACATGCGGGACTATAATCGAGTCGGTGAACTGGCAGTTCCAATAGAGTAGTTGGTTAAAACCCTGATTCGAAACCAATCAAAAGGACGGGTCAGAGCCAGATATTTAGACATTTCTAGTTGTGACAGTGGCCAACGGCTCAGTTAGGCATCAAGGTGTATTAATCCCTGTTCAAAGGACGTATGATTCGACGAACTGGACACCAGCCCCCATGAACGTGGTTTTTACACACAACCCCGTTACCTTGCGAATGAAACTTTGGCTAATCCAAGGCTTCTGTAAGGACTTCCTCAAGAAAGTCGCTTGCCTTAGCCTGGGCAACCTTATAATATCAAGACCATAAGCAAATGTTTTTACAAAGATAATTGAACCGTGACTTGTTTGGCACATCGCCCGGGCTCAGATAGGTGTGCATAAATAAATACCTCTTAGAACTCGACAAGAATGCATCACATCGATATCAGCTACATGTGGAGGTATTATTCAAAACTGTCTTCCATACCAGGACACTGGTGTGAAATCTCACCACGTGTTTGTGTGTAACATTTTCATTGCGTTTGAGTGACTCAACTAAAAGAAGTTTTTCAAAGATTAACACCAGCAGGTTAAAGGAACCATCTGTCTTAACTAGCTTTCACAGGGCAGCTGATAAGCTCTTTTAACAATATACGTCCATTGATGTCGGAGAACAATGGGAACGCATGAGCTAATCATTTGGGGTCTAACACATCGACCAGTAACTCATTTAATCTCAGCAAACTTACTTTGACTACTGGGTTAGAGGATATCAAAGTGAGTTAGCTTCGGCTTTAATAAAGCCTGCGAGGGTGAGGTCTGGTGGTTACGCCAAAAATCTTAAATTTTAAAAGCCTCGGAGTCCAGACTGTAAACCAGACAAATCAAGAAATGACTTATGCAATCAAATGACAGTACAATAACATTTATATGGTGAATTGCGTCGCGTACGGAACAAAGGAAACGTAAACTGAAAGGTTAAGAAACGTCGGCCAGCTATTTCGATCAATTTCGGTCTCATCAGCAGTGCAATCCATCGTGTGAAAGCCATGGAATTTTCCAACCGAGATATAATCCCCTAAGCTATTTCTGAGATAAGCGAGGAGTGTTGTCCGCAACTAGCTCGTGAAGATGGATTGCGCTTCTTTGTATGCGAACAACATGAAAACCGGTATGCTTTGGTGTGCAATGCTTGCGTCCGATTACCGAGGGATCGGGTTCTATCTCCAGTTGAGTCGCTCCATTCACACTGTCTGTAACAAAGCTGCCGGAAATGCACTTATTATTGAGAGCATTTCCTGAAGAACTGACTTTTGACACAGTTCGAAGTAAAACACTATCTGTTCCTGTCCAAGATCAACTCCCGACAATTCTCAACAGACCGCAAAGTGGCGTTTCAATTTAACCAATGGTCTAACTCGATTCGACCACATAGCAGCAAGCTATTGTTGGCGTGGCTCGGTACAAAAATGCCGGTCCCATGGGACTACCTATGCTGAGTCTGACCACCACCCATTAGTTCTGCTGCTCTTCATGCTCCGACTGACTGGTCGGCGACAAAACCAGAAAACTCGGTTAGCTTGCCAATCTCGTTAGTTCGTGCAGGCTATTCGTTGGAACTGGTGTATGAGCTAAGTGAACCCCAGTGTGATGGTGTAGATGAGCAGTGAGATCAGATTAGGTGAGTAATGCATGTCGTAACGAATGTTACTTGAGGGGTGTGAGCCTTGAGCCTATCTGAGGCATTGCATATTCCACCTGTCGAGTGCCATAATGGAGAAAAACGAACTGTCAGAGTCGAAAAGAGTAGGTGGTGTCTGCAACGTTAGCTCACCAGGAGTCTCAAGGACTGAGAAAACTAATGAGATGGAAGCAGGTGTTGCAATGAATAGAAAATGATACGCAACACGGGAGGTTGGCGAACCCCAGTTAGTGAAGCAATCTGTGACAAAAGTGGACATGCTATTCACAACCAGGAAAAACAGATTCAACACTGTACGGAACACTTCAGTTTAGCTGGCCTGGCGCTAGCCAGATTACCTCATCTGCAACTGAAGCTTCGTGGGTGATCATGCGATCCTCCGGCACAAGCAGAAGTAAGATCATGCATTTAAGTTCTGAAAAGAGGAAAGCAGTAGGATTGGACGGATTTTCTCTTACTCTTTTCAATATAGAGATGATAACCTCGTAGGCTCTGAAATTAATTTACTGCACATCTAAATGTAGCGGCTCATTCCATTATCCTGGGGGGAATCAAAAAGGCATTTCGCGACATAATGTTCGTAACAAAGCAGCTAGAAGTGGATACCTACAACACAGGTACACATAGGTAGCTGCAAACAGACATTCTGGTGCATTCCCAAAGCACAAAGGTTTCTAGTCTTGATGACGTCCTTGTTCTCGGTGAGAGAGCTGAAGTCGCGCTTCTGGATCGGATCCCACTAGACAGTAAGTTGTGCGTAGTGAGACTCCGAGGTTCGTGCAAAGTAAGCAGCCGTCGCCCCAACAGACGAAACTAGCGTGTCGTGTCGACGTGAGCTCCAACGAATTACAGCCCAGATGTAAGCAGAGATGAATTTTACCACGAATTGCACAACCTTTTGGATAAGGCCCATTGGGCTGATATTGCGAATTACGCACGAAATATGAATGTCACAGTAGGCTAGCTGACTTGGACCGAGGCGCCAATCAAGGTCAGATCGTGATAAGCTGTTTGGAAGAGCTTTTTTTAACTGCCTTTCAAAAGACGATAGTTCAAAAGCTAGAACCAACCCCACCTGATAAAATCGGTAGGCGCTGGTCGCTCACCACCAACGCTCTGCAGTCTGTTGGCTCAGTTAAATGTAGTGTGGCATGTCGTGTCTTGAGAACCCGCAATTCTGCGGAGTCTTGATGCCTTCTTAACGCAAGTCGATAGATTCCGGCCGGCAGAAAGCATAATGAAACACGACTCGTAACGAGACACAATCTCAATGCAACATTAAAACGAAACCACGAAACCTGGTAGACTCAAGGCGAATGAGGGATGGAACGCGCTGCCGCCATCAGAGATTCCCGTAAGTTGTTCCACCTCATTTATGTCACCCGTAGGAAAGCTTTGGGTGTGGGCATAACGATCTATGAATCTGGCGGCTCTTCCTGTCACAATCAGCAGCGACATCTTGCACCCGGGGTGGATCACTTCGAGGCATAGTTTAGCCGGCTACCAGCGTCAGCTCCTCATAGCTATTCTGGCAGGCGTCATATGGTCTGTCTCAACAGACCCACCCTATGAGGCGGAAATCCGAAAGGAGATCCAAGCTTTGGTACGTAACAAAACGCCGGGTTTCGATGACTTTCCCCCAGCTCTATTGAAAGACGGTGGAACAAAGCTTGTTAGATAACTACAGGCTCTGTTCTCTCAAGTTTGGGACACTGAGCAGGTCCTCTCCTCGTGGAGGAATCGATTGTTGTCCGCATCTATGAAAAGGGCCCGTTCAGTGACTGCGTCATACATAGGGGTATCAGCTTGATCTCAATAGCGTCAAAGCTGTTAGCGTTCGCAATTCCTCGTAGATCGTACAATATGTGAGAGGAACATACTCGCGACGAACAGGCTGGGCTTCGCGCCGGTCGTCGCTGCACCGACCAGATATTCATCCTCTGAGAGTTGCTAGAACACCTTCATGCTTACCACAGATCAATGACCATTGTGCTCCTAGACATTCGCGCAGTCTTTGACTCTGTCAATAAGACCGAAATATGGAACTGTTCATTGATATATGTAGTACCCGACAAGTGTGTTGATCCCCAGAGTTGTAACGTTACACCTCAGGTCAGGTTAGCCCAAAAATTCACCCAATCTGGGGAAGTAATAGGGGAAGTAGATAAATTTTACTATTCGGGCAGCTATACCTTACCTGGCGGACGTGTCACGGATGAAGTGTCGGTAAGCATACAGAAGGGTTCATTGGCATTTGCCAACTTAAGACATCTACGGCGCCGTCGTGGCATACAGCTGTCTGTGAAGGTTTGAGTGAATGCTGCAATAGTATGGTCAGTGCTGCTATATAGTGCAGAAACTTGGTCATTGAGAGAACAACGAAGAGATAAACTGTAGGTGTGCGAACACAGCTGTTTATGCCGCATTGCACGAGTCTGGTAGGAAAACCGGTTAGGCAATGTCGAAGTTAGGCGTAGTTTAAGGTAAACGCGGTCACCCACTGGATCAAGTGATTAACCTCGACAGACTGCTCGCGGTGGCGTGTATCGCGGATGCCACCGAATGGGTTGCCATGGCGCACGATTGTTTGCCGAGGCAGGCAGTGGATGGAAAAGCCAAAGGTCATCCAATAAGGACCTGGTATGAAAACCTTAATCAGGAGACCAGATCAGTGAGGTCGCGTTAAGCTAACAGGATGGGGATACAGAGGCAAAAGACACTGAGTGATGTTGATAAGAGTCGCAAACAGCGGCGCTCGGACAACCCTAGTCTCCATGAAT